ACACTGGGGATGTGCCCGCAACCGAGGTACATGCCCTTGACCGGAATCGAACCTGGGACCTTTCAGTCCGCAGGCTGACACTCTATCCACTGAGCCAAACTGTTTAGGGCCAGTGAAAATATATTAAAAAAAAAAAAAAAAAAAGAATGGAGAATGAAATAGTTCACATCTAACACAATGACTTTTATATCAGGAGAGGGGACATTATACTCTCTTGTCTGGGGCAAGAGAAAAATGTGAGGTTGTACCATGTCCATTTCTGTATTTATTCTGAACAGTTAAGCAGCTTATCAATAAAAAGCCACTGACTGGGGACCATCGGACTGACACGGGGGAGCTGTCCTCACCCAGTGACACCAGGTGGCTGTAGGTCTCCATCATCACGTCCCTGTACAGGTCCTTCTGCTCGGGGTCCAGGAGCTGCCACTCCTCCCAGGTGAATTCCACGGCCACATCGTGAAATGTCAGGGGTTCCTGTACCAACTCCATGCTGTGTAAGGGCGTGACGTCCTGTACATGACCTGGGAGAAATGTTAGTTTTTCTGCTCATTTTCACTTTACAGACTGCACCTATATAGCGGGTGGAGTTTTATTTTAATATACAGTTGAAGAACCACATGGCTAGTAAAATCCTATTTGTAATTGTACATCCATGCAATCTTCCAATTAGATCAGTGGTTCTCAACCTTCTGGCCCTTTAAATACAGTTCCTCATGTGGTGACCCCCAACTCTAAAATTATTTTCGTTGCTACTTCATCACTGTCATGTTGCTACTGTTATGAATCGTCATGTAAATATCTGATATGCAGGATGGTCTTAGGCGACCTCTGTGAAAGGGTCGTTGGACCGCCAAAGGGGTCGCTACCCACAGGTTGAGAACCGCTGAATTAGATGTTTCTATAATGTGAAAGAGTTAAATGTGCTTGTTAACCTAGAAACACAGTTCATATATTCAAATTCATAAATTTGAAAGAGAGAAAAAATATATATATATGTGTGTGTGTGTGTGTGTGTGTGTACTTTTCAGATTAACGGAGGTGGTTTTACAGGCCTCTTCAAATCCACTACAGAAGAAAGTAAAGGGAAAAACCAAATCCAGTCACCTGAGCCTGGAGCATTTCCTTCTGTTCTCTGAATAGAGCTGGCAACAGGGAGGCTCTGTCTTGGTGTCTTTGGCGTCTGCTCTGTGTTTCTGTACAGAAATCCGTCTGCAGTCAGGGGTGTCGCGGAAATGCTGATACTAACTCTGCAGCCTCCTCCTGCTTCACATGATTCAATTGTTCCTGGTGCCGTCACAGATACGTCCAAACTTGTAAAGAATTTTTATGAGTTTATTTGAGCCAAAGCGAAGACAAGTGCCTGGAAGCAAAATAACAATGAATTAAGAAAAGGTGCTGAGACCGGTTTGGCTCAGTGGATAGAGCGTCAGCCTGCGGCCTGAAAGGTCCCGGGTTCGATTCCGGTCGAGGGCATGTGCCTCGGTTGCGGGCACATCCCCAGTGGGAGATGTGCAGGAGGCAGCTGATCGATGTTTCTCTCTCATCGATGTTTCTAACTCTCTATCTCTCTCCCTTCCTCTCTGTGAATAATCAATAAAATATATTTAAAAGAAAAAAGAAAAAAGAAAAGGCTTTAGAGAATGGCAGTTTTACACCTAATTTATACATGAGAGTCAAAGAAACACAAGAAGGTTACATGAAATCCATGGGTGACACATTAGGGGTGAGGGGAAAAGGAAAGCAGAGAAATCTCTGGGATTGGATTAAAAGGAACAGACACCTACCTCTGCATAGGTGGAAACAGGATAATTAACACTTAGGAATTAACATGACAGCAATACCATTGAGGGACTCTGTGGTCTCTTGCTCTGGTGGGAGATTGTGCCCTGAGGAATCTGGAAAAAAAAGAAAGAAATTACCCCAACATTTCAAAGTCATGTCATCCCAGAAGACAATCGACAGGCTTGGTTAAGTTAAAGAATGACCTTTTTAAAAAAAATATATTCTTTAAAATTAATTTTAGAGAGGAAGGGAGAAGGAGAGGGACAGAGACATCAATGATGAGAGAAAATCATTAATTGGCCGCCTTCTGCACGCCTCCTACTGGGGATCGAGCCAGCAACCTGGGCAGGTGCCCCTGACCAACTGGAATCCAACCCAGAACCCTCCGTCTGCAGGCTGATGCTCTATCCACTGAGCCAAACAGACCAGGGCTAAAGAATGACCTTTAGTGAAGATACCAGTCTAGGGCATGACTACTGCCTAGACTTGCTTTGAAGTTAGAAGGAATTCGTTTCATACCTTCCAATGTGTTGTTTTGGCCTCTGAGTTTGTAAGGCTCTCCATACAGGCCCCTCTGAGTTTGCTAGGTTTAGTATGTGGTCCCCTTTAGGTCCACACTGGGGAGTTACAACCTGTGATGAGTTGAGGAGAAAAGTCAATGAGTGGTACATTTCCTCTGGGACCTGTTGCTAAGGTGCTCCTGCTGACAATGCCCACAGTATCG